GCTCCCTGGAGCTGGCTGCACAGGGCCTGATGGGCTTCCAGCCCAGCCGGAGGGAGGGTTTGAAGGTGTCTTTTCTAGTGAACACAAATAAACCGGTCATCTAGCAAGTAAACGGCTCGGGCCCTGAGGGAAGGAGCTGGGCAGTGGCGGGGCTGTGCCATCTGAAGGCTCCACGCTGTCCTCCAGTTGGGTGGCCTGGCTGCACAGGTGGCCTGGCACCCGTCTCGTTTGCCTGGGGCGACTTGCTTCAGCTTCCTGTTGTGCAGAGTTCTAAAGCTTCCTGTTGAAGGACAGCAACTATCAATAGCATTTGGGGAGATCACGCGGGCTGTGAAAATATATATGCGTTCGTCGGAAGGATGACCCCCTAATTCAGAACAGCACTTGCTTTGGGGGAGCAGGTGGGATATGACTGGACTTGTTTTAGTAGGTTGGAGGGTAGGTATTTGGTTGTTCGCAGAACTGTCCTCACCTGTTAATTTTTCTCCCTCTCTTTTTATTAGCTATTTACTCTGTCTTAGACCCTTTCCCTGCTTCTAAATAACTCTTCTAAGGCCTTTGCGTGAGTTCTCGTAAAATGCGCGTTGCTTCTCACGTTCAATTTTCCACTCACTTTTGTATACTTTAATGCACAGAACTTGAGTGTCGGCATCTCTGCCTCTTCCTCTCGCTCTGCACGTTTCTCTTCCGGGGGATGCTCCACGTGCAGGCTCCCCAGGGGCGCCGCCTGGCACTCCGGCGCCCCACACCCCGAGGGGATCCTCCAGCTCTCCTTTGAGGACCTATGGGAAGGTCCAGGGGACACCCTGTGGCAGCAGGGCTGCTGGTCCAGGGGACACCGGTGACTGAAGTGGCATAGCTGGGCAGCGCCCTGCTCCCAAGCCTCCCAACACCGGGTATCAGCCAGCTTCCTAAGTGGCTGTCCTTTGCCTTCCTCTGATGAGTCTGCACACCTGCTCAGACTGTGGGGGCTGCAGGTCCCCCGTAGGTGTCCTATTCACAGTTCTGCCGTCCCCACCGATCCCAAGTTCTTCCGTAGGCGCCACGCTAGCGAGTCTCCAACTTTGGGGCCTCCGGACACCTTTCCGGACTTATCATCGAGGGCCCCAAAGACCTAGTGATGTTCACTGTAGCAGACACTAAAACTGACCATTTAAAGACACACGTTCAGCCATCCCTGTTAAAGTGGCGGTGACAGGCCATACTCGGAACCGACCGACCGCGGCGCGCGGCCCGGGAAGGACTGTGGCCGCCCGGCTGGTTTGGAGCCCTCCTGTCGAGAGAGGAGAGGAGACATCTGAAAGTAAAAATAAATGCAAAGGAAAAGGCTGGTTCAATCCGCTCTGTCTCCCCGCATTCTGCCCTGTGCTCTTCAGCTAATGTGTTTTCCACAGCCGCACCCCCACCCCCTCAAGGATTCTCCAGCCCCCCCCATCTCCGTAGCCGCGTAGGAATGTCAAGACTGTGGACCCGCGTGCTGCGTTACAGCGAGAGGGAGCTCAGCCTTTGGATAAGGAAGCCCCTGAGCGCGCGGACTTCAGAGTGCTGCTCCCTGCCTGTCAGCCTAGGAGGCCCGTCCCTTTGCTCAAAAATCCGATAAAGGTGCTGATTACACCAAGGGCCTGGAAATCCCTCCCCTGCAGCCCCCCACCCGAAGCTGCCCCTCCCCACTCTGAGTAAGGAGGGACATGTAAAACCTCAGACGAAGGAATCACGGGCCCCTTGCGTGGACACTGCGAGGGGATGGAAGCTGTAAGAAATCTGACCGAGGGGAGCTCATGCTCTGGGTCTGTGGAACGCCCCACGCTCTCCGCCGGCATTAAATCCTCCTCCCTTCAGCGAAGCTGTCTGAGCGTCTGAATCCCTCCGCTGGGGCCGTTTCCTGCGACACTGACAGCAATCGACCCGACGCCGGACGCCGGAACCTTCCCCCAGCCCTGAGCAAACTGTCAAGGGTGCTCGTCCTCCTCAAGCCTCTGAAGATCTGCTGGACCCAGACCCCAAAGCCGCACGTGCCTTCCTGTGCCTGCCCGCCCCTGGGACCCAGCGAAGACCCCCAAGGTCAGCGAGCCCACCTAGCTGTATCCCCATGTGACTGGTGGCGTTTCAGAGAGCTGGCGTCCAACACATAAAGAGCATGTTTCTATGGGAAGCGATTATTTCCCAAACTCACTGAGGAGAGCAGGCGTTACAACCACGCTGCTTGGGGGGAGCCACAAACGCCTGTCCCCGAGACCGAGGCAGGCCTTGTTCGTGGGACGCTGGCTGCACACAGCGGGCCAGGGAGGGTGCTGGACAGGCAGCTCCACTGTCATCCAGTGTGACCGACCCTCTGCCCTTGTTGGTCCCCCTGCTGTGCCGCCCCTCCTGGGGCTCGCACCGCCAGACCCTCCCTCTTCCCTACTCGGCTGGAGTGGGAGGTGGGGACGTGGGTGGTTAGAGATGTGTCAGGCCACTGAATTTGAACCCAGCCCCTCTCATGCTCTGGGCCCTGGCCCTTCGGTGCCTTGTTTGTGGCCTGTGCCTGTCACATGAGCCCTGGGGTCACCAGGATGCCAGCGAGTGTGGCACTCAGGCACCTCAATCTGGGGGCCCTGGAAAGTGACACCCTCAGGTGAAAAGCAGAGTGACTCCTCACACTTACCCTGTGCGACCTTGGGCCCATCCCATCTGTCTGCACACCCTCAGGTGAAAAGCAGAGTGACTCCTCACACCCTGTGCGACCTTGGGCCCATCCCGTCTGTCTGGACTTGGGAGGGTCAGGAGGTGGTGGGGAAGCCTCCCCTGGGAGTCCAGAGGCCTGGACGGGCCCAGGGCGCCCTGGAACCAGCCACCATAGGTAGTGGCATCTGACCTGTGGCCGCCTTAGGCTGTCCAGGAAGCAGAGTGGGCACAGGGGGACAGAGCAGGCAGCAGCCTGTTGATGGGGTGGGGTGAGGGGAGCAAGTGGCAGGTGAGGAAGCGGCTGTAGGTTCTGGGGCTCTGAAGGGTAAGTGACCCAGCCCAGGTACAGTGTCCCCAAGGCCCAAATCTTCCTGGTGACTGGGGGCCTGCTGGACGGGGGGCAGTGCCCTTGACCTCTGGCTCTAGTTTGGGCATCCTTGGGCCAGCAGAGGTCCCCGTCAGAGCAGGTAGAGCCAGGGGTGCCCACCCTGCGCTGAGGGAGGGGCTCAGCCAAGTATGGGGAGGGGGGTGGCCTCATCTAGGTCCCTGAAACCTCCTGGGAATTCTGGCCCGGGGGACGCAGGTTTCCGGAGGTAGGGACGTTGCCCCATCCCCCTTTCCCCTCGCCCTGTCTCCCTGTCGGAGGGGTCCTGCCCAGGCTTGGGAGGGCAGGCTCCTTTTCTGGCCTGGCGGTGGAGAAAGGCCTTTCCCGGGGACATGGGGCTGTGGTGGTCGAGTTTCAGTGGTAGCTCAGAGGACAGCAGACTCCCAGCTCTCGGTGACTGCCCTGCTGATTAACACCCTGCCCCAGGCTTGGTGCACGGGCTGCTTTGGGGACATGCAGGTCAGGACTCCGGGGACCCAGCCAGGGGCTAGGGCGCCACCTGGCAGCCACACTGCAGCAGCACAGCCGCCAGCAGAGGGTGCCAGAGCGCCCTGGGCCAGGTGGGCGGGAGCTCAGGGACCACTCCGCTTCTGTGCGGATGCCGTCCCCACTGGCCGTCAGCCCTACACCCTCTGCTCGAGCCCTTGCTCCCCCTACTCCCACCCCACCCTCAGCTAAGCTCTCCAAATCCCTTCCCCCGTCCCCGCCCGCCCAGTCTGGCAGGCCTGGCTCCTCGCCACTCCCACCCGTCTCCGTCTCCGGTGGGCCTTCTGGACATCCGGCCTAAGGCCCTCTCAACCCAGGAATGTCCTCCAGGCCCTTTTGGGCAGTCGTGGAGGGGAGGGTCTCCCCGGCTCCCCACCCGAAGTCAGCATGAGTGGCCTTGGGGCCTCCACTGCTCCCCCTGGCCACAGCCTGCCCCTGCCAGTAGCTCTTACAAAGAGTGAAATTCAGGTCAGCTCCAGGGCCCCCGGCACCCCACCCCCACCTCCAGGAGACAGACACATGGCTGCTAAGAGACAATTGGTTTAATGTCATGGCCTTTGAGTCTGGCCACCTCTCAGCTTCAGGATGTGAGCTGCAGAGTCCAGGGCTCCAAGACTCACCGGCCCCCCACGCCGCGTCCTGGCCTGAGCTTGGTCAGAGAAAGTCCCTTCCTCCAGCTCTGCCCCGGGGTGGGGGTGCCCCAGGCCAGTACTCAGGTGAGTCTGGTCCATCTTCGTTCCTTGAAAATGTGAAGGGAGTACAGCATGCACCCCCGGGGAACCCCTAGGGAGCACTGGGTGGGTGTTGCGGGCACACTCAAGGGGCGAGGGTCGCCCACCTCGTGAGAACAGAGCCAGGATGGCTGGGCAGCTGAGGATGGTCGGCCCGTCCAGGGGTGTGGGGGTGCAGGTGGATGTGGAAGTCAGCAGTCATGGGGCTGGGACAGGGCAGAGTCACAAGTGCCAGGAATCCCATGTGGAT